CGGGACTGGCGAGCCGGGGCCCGCACGCTCACTCGCTCCCTCCCTCTCCCTCCCAGGTGGCTGCTGCTGGGGGCGGTGACTGTGGGCTTCCTGGCCCGGAGCGCCTCGGCGGTAAGTCCTGGCGGCGGTTCCGCGCGCGCGAGGGCGGTTGGGACGCTCGAGTGGCCTCTGAGGAGGCAGCGGGTCGACGCGAGTGTGTGTGGCCGTGTGCGCGCGCGGGCGCGCGGGCGCGTGTCCCCCCAGCCCAGGCCCTAAGAACGCTCCCTTTTCCCGGTGACCTCCGTCCCTCCCTTTGGGTCCCCCGGCCGATCCTGTGCCTGACAGGCGTCGGCCCTTCCGCAGGAGCTCGCCTCTAAAAACCTAGCCCCAGGCAAAACTGCTTCCTCAGACACGGGGAGAAAACGTCAGCCACTTGGCCTGAGACCCCCGGGCCAGGGCAGAGCAGTTGCCAGTCTGGTGGCACCGGGAGGGCTGGTGGGTCCCGGCTCTGTCGCCGGCAGAGGGGTTTTGTGTTTTTAAATGGGAGGCTCTGGGGGGATGGGGGGTGGAAGTGGGCGGGGCGAGGAGCAGAACGCGACAACCTTGGAGCTGTTTTAACCACTGGGAAGGAACAATGGCAGAAAAACCCGCGTTTTCTCCCGGGTCCTGGGCAGGCCCTGGAGAGCCCCAGGTAGAGGCTGGGACCCTGCTCGCCGAGCCTGCCCCTGGGCCTGCCTTGCCGGGCAGCCTCGCCGACACTGTCGTCGTACTTGGTGATGACACTGTGGGGTTTTAGAAATCGTGTTTCAATAGTAGAAACCCCTTTGACAGAGCTTGATGCAACCATGGCCACGACGCAGCGGGTTTGGCGGGCCTCTTCAGTGGAGGACACAAATGCCTAGCCAGGCACGAAGACCGAGGGGTGGCCAGCCCACCTCTGCCACAGTGTCCGGTGGAATACCCACGTCGGGAGCATTCCGTGTCCCCGGTGGAGTCCTCTGTGCACTCCCCTCTCCTCCTCGGTTCCCACTTTGCAAAGGGGATGTGTGCTGGTGGTTTCTTAGATGCTCTGTGATTTTTACCTCGTTCTGTCCTGATGTATAACAGACAGGGATTGTAAAGGTAGTAAGTGAGACGCCATCACCATCGCCAGAAAGGACGGCTGAACCGCTGCCTCTCTACAGCTTTCTGCTCGGGTTCAGGGCACCGGCTGGGAAGTAAAAGGAGGAAGCCAGAGACTTTTTGACGGTCAAAGTTTCCCTAAAGTTCAGGTCTGTCTCTCCATCCCGTCCCCGGTCCTGATTTGAGAAGATCAGAATCTAGGTATTGGAACCCACCCAGTGACCCCATGGACTCTTACGTGGGTGCCCGCATACAGATAAGACTTGGCCCAGGTGTATGGACCAGAAGCAACACACACACATGCACATACTCACACACACTCAGAGGAGGAGATCCCTAGAATGTACCACAGCGTGTTGCGGGTGTGTGCGTGGGTTGTGCTGACACCCACATGCCTTTGTCTCCCAGAGCCATTTTTGTCATGTCAACGCATTCATTCCCGAGGGTGGTGAGAGGCCCAGGAATTCTTATCTGGACTGAGGCTAAAATGGGTGGAAAGCCACCGAGTGCCCAAATGTTCATGTCAGAGCTCGGTGCTAAGCTTACTTCTGCACTCACCTCTGAAATCTCAAGCCTTGGCGCCCACACTTTGAAGAAGTGAGCATCCCTCCACTTGTTACAGAGGCCAAGTGCCCTGTGACATGGGACACTCCTCTGAGGCTCCCCAGGACCTCTTGGAGGCTTCAGACTCACCCTCAGCCTCTCTGCCTCTCTGATCCCGGGAGGGATCAAGAACATTCATTCTTAGCAGAGCTTCTCACAGTTCTTGGACCCCTGATGGCTGAAGGGCCGAGATAGGTCTTCATCTCAGATGCTCTGGTCAGACTCTCCGGGTGGGGCCAAGAGTCTGCATTCAATGTGAGGCAAAGTCTGGAGTCTTGGGTTGAGAGGCAGTAGAGGCCACATGCCCATTTGCTTTATCTCCCTGGACTTTTTATTCTAAATCTACAAGTAAAAATAGATATTTTTAATCATTTTAATTATCTACTGTTAAAAAGAATGGATCATTTTAATCATTGTCATTGATTTTCAAATCATTCAGCGATTTTATTTTATTTTTTAGATTAGAAAATACAGTTTATTTAGAAAGTAAGTTAAAGAGAGAGAAAGAAGAGATTCACCTCCCTAAAGAAGGGGAAGGGGGCCAAAGCTTAAGAAAACATGGCCTGACCATAGCTCAACGAGCACGTGGCCACACCACAGCTTAGCAAGGCAATGGTCCATTCAGCAATTTTAAAAATTGGTACTTAGAGCCCTACAAACACGTGTTGTTAAGAGACATTCAGTCTGCTGTGTTCAATGATGGACTGATCTTCTACTTATCAATTTCTTATTATTCTAAATCTGAAAGCAAGAATATTTTTAATCATTTTAATTATCTACTAGTCAGAAGAATAGATAGTTTTAATCGTTTTTATTGATTTTCAATCATTCAGCGCTTTCAAAAATTAATACGTAGAGCCCTATGAACTCGTGTTGTTAAGAGACATTCAGTCTGTTGTGTTCAATGATGGACTGACTGATCATCTACTTACCGATTTTTCAGTAATCACTGGCTTTAATGGTTGTCGCTCATGAAACAATTCTTTGGTTCCTTGGTTCCTGACTATATTCATTAAGGAATTTTCTTGACTGTGGCACGTTCAGCCCTGCTCCTTGCAGCCCGTGTTCCAGAGACCTGTCTCAGGGATCTCGTGGCCTGTCTGTCTCAGGACTTTTCTGGACCAGGTCAGTTCAGCAGAAAAGGCTTCGGCATGTGTCTGGAGGGGCTTTGCAGAAGAAGCAGCTGAACATGGTTTGTGAAGAGAGGGGGTAAATTCTGCCCATGTGCATTAGTACATCAAAGCCTCACAGCAAAGCACACTTATGAGACAGGTAACTACTATTCCCCCATCTTACAGACCAGAAAAAAAGAGGCCCAAAGAATTTAAATAACTTGTGCACGCCTGTATTCCCAGCTACTCAGGAGGCTAAGGCAGGAGGATCGTTTGAGCCCAGAGTTTGAGGCTGCAGTGAGCTATGATTGTGCCACTGCACTCCAGCCCGGGTGGCAGAGGGAGAACCCATCTCTTAGAAAAAAGAGTTGGAATAACTTGCCTGAGGTCTTGCTTTTTGCAAGTGGCCAAGAGGGATTGGAACCCAGCATGTGACCCCTGCTCTGAGCTCCCCGAGATCTGTAAATTAGCAGTGTCTGAGTTTTAGTCTTTGTGTCTCCTGGGGTCCGGGTGCCTTCTCCTTGGTCTTGACCCTTGAGCTAACAGAGTGAAGCCCAGGCACTGACTCCTGGGAAAAGGAGTCTCCCCCATCTCCTCTGCGCTGCTCCCACTTTAAGGGCCAGGAGCACAGAGCCAGGGAGAAGCCACACAATGGTGGCCAAAGGAAGAGCTGGGGCTCAGAGCTCGGTGTGGAACCAGGTGCTCTGTGCATGATTCCCAGTTGCCTTTCCTGAAGAGTCCCTTGCTTGAATGCAATGCCAGGGTGCCCGGCTCATGTGTGAAACACCCACCCTGAAAGACAGTGGGGCACAAGGGATCCCAGACTCGAGGCCAGCTGCCTGGTGTTGTTTCCAGCTCTGCAGGAAGCTGAGGGTCTGTTGCCAGGGATGGGCACTCACCAGATCTCTGAGTTTTAGTTCTCCTCCCAAATGGGGAGCCCTTTCAGGGTTGTGGGGTGCATAGGCATGTGGACAATAATTTGAAAGGCCTAGCACAGCCTGGGTGCCAGGAGATGTCCCCTGGGTCTGTTTAAGGAATGGTCCCCTTAGCCGCATGGTCTAACCTCCACGGAGTCTTGAAGGCGCTCCCTGAAGCTGCTCTAAGCTCTAAGCATTGTTACTTATCTCTAGAGGCCTTAGTAGCCTTAAAGATCTAAGAGACCCTATCCTGCCTGACTCTGGAGGAAGAGAATTCCAGAGAACAAAGGCTTTTTCTGAGATCAAGCCCTGTAGCAGGCTGGGCGGTCACCTAAGGACTGGTGGGGAGACAGGGCCGCAGTGATACAGGTTATCACAGGTATCAGTGTGAGGCCAGGAGTCCTGGAAGCGCAGGAGCCCTCTGCCCCAGGAAGTGCAGGGCCTGGCCAGCCGCACATCAGCTCAGTTGCCAAGCGCCAGGCCCTGGAAAATTCGTTTGACACTCGTGTGAGCCGTCACCTTTCTTTCTTCCCTCCAAAATGCGGCCGCAGTGGTGAACCCTCTCATACGTGGGCTTGCTGACAAGTGAGAGAGATGCAGTACCGAGCGCTACCCAGTGCTCTCTGCAAGAATCAGGAAGAACTGTCCCGTCCCACATTCCCTGGAGCTGCTGTCCGGGTTGTTTCAAAACTGGGCTCCTGGGAAGAAGGGAAATATCTCCTCTGTGAGTGGAAAAACAAGCAGATCTTAGCTCTCCAGCGGCCATTAAAGCACTTCTCGCCAGGTGACTTGTATGACTTGGCCCCAGGATATAGTAGCAGGGATTTGTCATCAGCATCCCAGGATGCTAGCGCCAGGTGGGACGGGCGGACAGAAAGTGCAGAGCTTGGAGAACAGGCCCTGGCACTGTCATGGGGATGAGTTTAGAGCCAGAGAAACGGCGGCGGGGATGAAATTCGAGGGAAAAGTTCTAGGATTAAGAACAAGGAGTTTGCAAAAATCTAATAGTGTTTCTAGGCAGCTCGCTAAAATGATGGAGAAATTCCAAGGAAAATCTGGCACTGGGGAGATTGAACAAGGATGAGATCACAACCTAGAAGTTGGTCTGGGAATGTCTCCTTCTCCTTATCTGAAAGGAATATTGATCTTTGATGATGGGGTTTTAGAAAACTCTGAGATGGGGCCTTGCTTTTTATCTGCTGCTGTTTGCTGCATTATCACTGCAGGAGGTGGGAGGTCTTGTCTGGAACCCCTGGCCTTGACTGGTTTGCTTGTAAATCAAGGGTCCAGGAACCACACAATGGTCTGGAGATAGAGTCTGGCCCCAGCCTGGCTGGGAACGGGCTGTTTGACTTTGAGTCCTTAACCCACTCTGACT